TAACCCTAACCCCTAACCCTAACCCTAACCCTAACCCTAACCCTAACCCTAACCCTAACCCTAACCCTAACCCTAACCCTAACCCTAACCCTAACCCTAGCCCTAACCCTAACCCTAACCCTAACAGGTTTATATGCTACTAGTAGGCCTGCACATGCGAGCTACATGACAGAAGAAAAAGTCACGAAAGACGTTGCAGTGTTGCCCCTTATTTGAGGATTTCCATCAAGACGTGTATTAGGTTTCAGATTTATTGGGCATCTAAACTGTTAGAAGAGACGCAATGTTGTGAAAAGAGACTAGTTTCATTCCATTCATTCGGGTTCACTGTGGTTTCGAGGCTTCCAATCACGAGGCTTCCCATCATGAAGACCAGAGCTACGGATCTCACCCTCCGTACAAACAATTGTCAGTATGAGTGGATATCTTTGCCTCAAGCTTCACAATGACCAATTCATCAAGACGTATATTAGATTCATCACTTGCCAAACTCACATACTTCTCAAAGCGTTCAATCATAGAGACCGAAGCTATGGGTTGCATCCATATCAAGACGTATATTAGATTTATCACTTGCCAAACTCACATACTTCTCAAAGCGTTCTACCATAGAGACCGAAGCTATGGGTTGCATCTTTCGTACAGTCCCTTAGGTGCATGAACGCTTTCAACATTCAAAAAATTCAATGTTCACATCAATTTTGTTTCCTCTCTCAGGGATAAGGAAAAAACATGAAACCACAACGTCTCTTCCCGTACCAGCCACGGGCCCACTCCCCTGAACTACATTGTGGTTTGTGTTTGTCGCTTGCATCGCGTCTACTTGGCCGTGACGACCAGGTCCTTCATCCAGTCCGCCACACGCACAGTAAGGGGCAGCTCGGTCCCGCTGGCCACGCTCCGGCCCATGTGGATTCTCCACTTGATCTTGTAGGTCTTTCCAAAGACGATGCCTCCCACAGGAAGGGTCCACGCGAGCTCGTTATTCGTCTTGATGTAGCGAAGCCTTGATAGAGGGCACGAGAGCAAATGTAAGGGCACGAGAAACAGCAACACAATGACAAGCAAACCAAGACATACAGCAGGATGGATGCTTGAAGTTTAGACATGGGCAAGGAAATGAGATCGACAACCCAGGGTGCCAGGTGCATGTCATGCGAAGGGACAATAGAACCCGACGATTCAAGCATCTGATCCTGCCTGGCGCTCAAAGAGAATCAAAGGAATCGAAGGACAATAACCGAGACGATACATAATAGGACGAGATATAATAAATAAGAGACAGGCACAGGGACGATTGACAAGCACGTACTTGGGCCTCCATGTGTTGGGCCGGAGTTTTCCGCGCTTGAAGCTCAGGGCCTCGTCACCGAGTCGGGCACGCTTGAGCACCTTTGTACTGTGACCCTGAAGGAGCCGTGTCGCGTTTCCTTGGACGTGGAGGGTGGTGGTATTGCCTCCCAGCAGGCACTGTAGGCGAACAAGTGTGGGAATGGAGCCGCGAGGTCCGGTTGTGAGGAAATCATACACAGAGCTATGAACCATTCCTTCCTTCTCATCCCCCCCGCTCAGGTGTTCTTTCACCCTGCGGCCTTCCTGCATTTTTCACCACGTCCTTGATGTTATTTTCACCCACCGAGACGACCACGTCCTCCATAGGCCGCTCCAAGAACAGCAGATCTAAGAGAAGGGTGAACCGGCGACCCGGAGCCCGCACTGAGGACTTTAAGTAGGCTTGTGCCAGATAAGTGACAGTGCCGAGGGCGAAGGGACTCAGAGAGGAGACGACGCCGCACACCAGCTGCGCAACGGGGTCCACGCTTGTGGTCACGTCCG